ATGTTGATGATGATGATGATGACGATGACGATGATGATGATAATGTTGATGTTTTTGATGATGATGATGATGATGATGATGATGATGAAGATGATGATGATGATGATGATGATGATGTTGATGATGGTGATGGTGATGATGACGATGACGATGATGATGATAATGTTGATGTTGTTGATGATGATGATGATGATGATGATGATGATGATGATGATGATGATGATGATGATGATTATGATGATGATGATTATGATTAAGATAATGTTGATGATGATGATGTTGATGATGATGATGATGATTATGATGATGATTATGATTAAGATAATGTTGATGATGATGATGATGATGATGTTGATGATGATGATAATGTTGATGATGATGTTGATGATGATTATAATGTTGATGTTGATGATGATGATGATGTTGATGATGATGATGATGATAATGTTGAGGATGATGATGATGATGATGTTGATGTTGATGATGATGATGATGTTGATGATGATGTTGATGATGATGTTGATGATGATGATGATGATGGTGTTGTCTGTAGACTGTCTTACACAACAATCGTCTGTTTGCAGATGGCTGTAGCTAAAATTAAAGTTACCCTGGCGGTGAGTGGAGCAGATGTAATCGAGTTCATCTGTTTCTGTGACCTCGACCTTTACTTTCCCTAACGTGAGCCAGGTACCCATTAGGGACGTCCACGAGACGAACTCGATACTTTTGGGTTAGCACTCGTAAGCTCTACCGTCCGGCCACTCCGTCCCATGAGAAGCTAAGCGATACGTTTGTGAACTGTTGCTTGATAGCAACTCATCGAGAGACAAAGCCTACATCTGTAGTTTGTTCTTGGTTCAATCTATATGCCGCATAACAAGTTGACACGTAATACTTAATTGTGTTGGTGGAATCCTTTCCCATATTAGAATTAAGATCGAAGAAGAGTGTATTAATACAATATAGGGGGTGGCAATTTTTAAGTGTCGTATGGGGGGGGTCAGTCTTTTTAACGTTAAATTGGTTTTACCCTATTTATTTAATTAACGAGGACTCCTCATTAAACTCAGTGCATGGCATTTGATTTTCACCCGACAATATTATAAATTACTTACGAGTGGGAAAGGCGTGGTCGAATAGTAGAGCTTACGACTACTAACCCGAAAGCCTAAAGTTCGATCCCCGCACTCAAATCTGTAGAACGTCCCTCAATGCATCCAGCTCTAATAGATAACAGTGCTGACCACTCTATCGCCTTTATGTCGAGGCCATTGAAACAGAGGATTTCTACCTCATCTGCCCCATGTGGATGGTCACGAACGGGAAAAGATGAAGATGAAGTTAGTGGTGTAGAAAGAGGAGGAAGGCATCTCAAACTGTGACTGAAAGATGTATTTAATTTTTTTAAAAATGTTCTAGTTTTTAAAAATTTAATAAATGGTACTGTAAGGTAGGTAACTGCTGATTTTACTTCTTGCCTCAAATTTTCATTGGTTACATCCCCTGACACCAAACACTCCAATACATAGCGTACATTTATCACAGGTGAACGTATATTAATTTTTAACACAAAGTTTGAAGCGTTCGTAACAGTCCTAATGGGTACCTGGTTAAAGTAAAGACAACTGGGCATGGTTTTGACAGTAGAATCCATTCGTTTGCTGAGGTATTGAATACAATAAAAACACGAGTCAACGCCCTTTTTAAGAACGCAGAAGAAAAAAGAATAAAGAGTCCTTTACAAAATGTACAAAAACATGGTTTTGATAATCAAAACCGTATCAAAAACATGGATTGGATCATTACTACATTAACTTAAAAATAATCAACACAACTATGATAAAAAAAATTTAAGACAACGCCATTGTGTCAATAAAAATAATATATTTGTTGACGAAAAACGCAAAGCCAATGCGACTAATTAACTAAACTGAAATGATTATTGCTGTGTCACAATTATACAGAGCAGGCTACGCATAAACATTTGAGTACAAATATTACAACAACAAAAAAAAGTTGTTACATTTAGGGGGTTAATCCAGGGGGTTCAAAATATCTACAATCACAGGTATGGGCGTAACCATGGCAACGTTTCCAGATTGTTTTTAAAAACTCTGTAACGCCTGGCTGTTTGATTTTTCGCAAGAAATTATGGGATATTTGACTGGCACTGTAGATGAGAGTTCTATCTTAAATGTGTGGAATGAAAGAAATATTTTTATTTCTAGAGAGTTCTGTTTTAAACAGAAGACATAGAGAGTTATGTTTCTGATACCACACTTTTTTATGCTTAAGGTATTTCTTTAATGAGATTGTTAAAAATTTAACTTACAATTTCTTTTATTAAATGAAGTACGGCAACTTTGGTTGTTTGCTTTTTTTTTTTTTTTTTTTTTTTTTTTTGCTGATTTAAATTAACAATAGGGTAGCTCAAAATACCCCAACTTACAGACTTAAAAGTTTTTTCTTTCTAATAATGACAGAAAAAAGTTTTAAAATTATTATCTCGCTACTAGATCCCAAATTGTTGACAAAGTTGTAAAGCACATATCTAATAAATGTACACAAATATTTATATCAGAGTCAACATACAACATTGGTAGGATAAAATATAGTATGTCAATATAAATGTACACACACAACCATAATAAAGTTTATAATATATATTCAATCGATGATTATCCATTTAACATTGTTGCGCAAATGTGTGATTATTTGATGTCAAAGGCAAAGATGATACATGACATTTGTTAAATTAACACGACATTTGTAAAACATGACATGTAAAAATATGACATTTGATGCAGTCGAGCTATAAGTTACAGTATGAAAATTTACATCATTTGATCAGTTGATTAGGTAACTACCTCACTATCTTACTACCTCACCATGATTTGATTTACTGTCTTAACTTGCTTATTACAAAATGTGTACAACACACTGATAGTACACATATCTGTTATGTACAATACACTCATGTGAACAACATATTGTTTGTAGAATACACAGATGCGTACATGACGTAAACAACACAATGATGTGTACAGTACACTGATGCGTACACATATCTATTACGTACAATACACTATTGTGAAAAAGATATTGATGTGTACATTACATGTTTAAATGACATGTACATCACACTGACATGTACACTGATGTGTACAAGATGTGAAAGAGGCCATGTGTACAAAACACAAATGCGTACATGACGTGTACAACACACTGACGTGTACAACACACTGATATGTACAACACACTGTGTACAATACACTGGTGTTATACAATGTGTACAAAGCAGATGAGCCTATCTTTTAAAATTAATTTTGTAAAATATAATATTACAACTACCATATAGAAAGTAGAAGCAAGCATACAATTCACATTCTTTATCGAGTTCGTAATGAAAAGCAATGGTAGCCAGTCGGAAAACGAATTTGTCTACAAGTAAACACAATTACAAAAGCACGAAACAAAGAGAGACAGATTTTCCTAAACTTTCCAGGGTGTACTTTAAGAATATTGACAAGTTATTTTTTTCAAATGCCTAAAATTATATATTTTTTTACAAAAGAAAATAGAAACTATTTGTAGGTTAAATTATATAAATAATTTCAGAGGAATTTTGTTTTCAATTAATAGGATAATTACATGTAGATTTTTAAAATAGATTTTTAAGGATTACTTCCCTTTATCTTTTTCCTTTGTTTTGCTAATTCATTCAGCTATATCATACCAGACACCCTAAAATTACTACGTTCAAAAAGCCTATACAAATACATCATTGTCATTCTAGGGTGACTTGTTATCTGTATCCAAGCAATATCTATAAAGGCGTTACGTCTATAAGTAGGTAGATACCTTCCAAATAAATTTATAATCCAACTTTTTAATCACACCGATAATCACAAGTATTTGTAAAGGATTAAATTTAGCCCAATAATAATAGCTCTCCTAGATTTGTTTACATTAAATAGTCCTGTATTACAGGCCAGTCTTGAATTTTTTTTGTAACTTTCTGTAGTACTAAGTTCTTAATTTAACTTACATACACAAATCCATTAAGGGAGATAAAAATATATTCCTATCTAGAAAAGTTCAGGTAAAGTTTTGAATGTGTTACACAACGAATGCTTGAGAGACACCAGGAAATTATATATTTTATCCCCTTGAAAAAAAATGTCCATTTTTAACCATGTAAGTTGACTTGAAATACCCATAGTTGTAGAGTAAGAAATGTAAATGTCCATTTTTACTATTGTAAAAAAAAAGTAAATGACCATTTTTACTATGGTAAAAAAAAGCAAATGTCCATTTTTACAAGAGAGCATGTGTGTGATCGATGACGTGAGATGTCCATTGTCCACACAAGCATGGAGATTAACCCGACAAATTGACTTGAAATATTGCATAGAAAAGTCGTATTTAAAAAATCCATATTTTTATTTCAATGTCGGAAGCCATCTTTTGACGGAAGACCATTTTCTTACAGCAAAAAAACTTATTATCCACTGAATGCCACTTTATCCAGAAAAAGCCAGTTAACCAATCAAGGCAGCAAACAGAAGGTCTACCAGAATGTTTTCAGCGCATGAGCTAGTGCACTCACATCACAAGCATCTATAGCTATAGCCCGATACAAGCTATAGCACAATACAGGTAAGAGCCCAATACAGGCAACAGCCCAATTCAAGCTATAGCCCAATACAAGCTATAGCCCAATACAGGCAACAGCCCAATTCAAGCTATAGCCCAATACAAGCTATAGCACAATACAAGCTATAGCCCGATACAAGCTATAGCACAATACAGGTAAGAGCCCAATATATTCAAAAGCCCAATTCAAGCTATAGCCCAATACAAGCTATAGCACAATACAAGCTATAGCCCAATACAAGCTATAGCACAATACAAGCTATAGCCCAATACAAGTTATATCCCAATTCAAACTATAGCCCAATACAAGCTATAGCACAATACAAGCTATAGCCCAATACAAGCTATAGCACAATACAAGCTATAGCCCAATACAAGTTATAGCCCAATTCAAACTATAGCCCAATACAGGCAAGAGCCCAATCCTAAGCTGAGGCTACAACCCACACTATGTTCGATTGATTTTCTTTTAGATATCCAGTATCGATTATTCATCAGTCATCGTTTTATCATCTTTTTTATCCTCCTTACTCGTCGTCCTTTAAACCGGCTAGGACGTTGTCGTACATGCTGATTTTGGATGATGACACCTGCTCAAAGGTCATGGGGCGGCGCGCGGAGGGGTACACCAGAGGCTGGGGTTCCGGGATGTCGTCGTAGCCGCCGGATTGCTGCTGTGGTGATGAAGTGGACGTCCTGTACTGTTGCTGTTGCTGGTGGTGGGTGGTGTATGGGCTGGCGGCGGACTGACGCTGCAGGCTCTGTTGGTGAATCTGTCGCGGGGCGTAAAGATCTTGCTGTTGCTGGCGTTGGTACTGCATTTGTTGTTGATGGTAGCTGTTGGGAGACTGGTTCTGTTTTGGTGGGAGCATGGGGGTGCGTTCTACCGGGTTGTCGTAGTCGAAATCGTCGGGTTGGTATTGGATGTGGGCGGGTTGGGGTTGGGTGAACCCGGGTTGGTGGATGATGTAGCCACGCTGGGGTTGGACGTCGATGTTGACGGTTTGGATGTTTTTGGGTTGTTTGTTGACGCGGGCGTAGTCGACGCTGTCCTGTGGAGTGGGTCTCTGCTGGGTCGGGGTCACGACGTGCTGGACGGGGATGGACCTCAAGGTCGAGTACTGTGACCCTGACCCAGATTCCGCGTACCCGGACTCGTTCCCGCTAATTATAGAAACACTTTTAGGATACGCATACGTGTCGAGGGAGCTTCCACCCCCCGAGTATCCACCTTGGGCTGAGCCATATCCTGCTTGTTGACTTCCAATTGACCCAGCGTACGTTTGACTTCCGGAAATCGTGCTGTGGCTCACTTGACTTCCGGGTGACGGAAAAGGCTGTTCTGCCGGTAAAATCCGTATCCCGCCAGTTCCGACGTCGGCGCCCCCGACGGTTCTACCGCCGGCGCCCCGCGGGTCGTGTTTAACGCCCTCGCCAAAAAACCCGCCGGAGAAGGAGGGACTTCTATCAGGCTGGCGCCCCCCTACGACGAAGCTCCCCCCTTGCATGGCATTGGGCGGGCTCTCGCCGTAGGGTCCAACTTCCGGTGCCATGGTCACTTTTTTCTGACCCAAGGTGCCGTTTCTGTTGAGCGTGGAGTTGGCGGACTTCAAGGCCGAAGGGCGGCCTATACTGGCGTACCCAGGCGACTCCGTCATGTACTCGTCCGTCCACTGGAACTCCTGGGAACAAAATCAGAAAAAAAATGTTTTTAGAATATACAGGAGGAAGTTAGAATAAAAATAAATGTTAATTTTTTTTAATTTAGCCAATATGTGTTAAATATATACTTTAAACTTTGACCGTCCAGCGCGTTGACCGTCCAACAACTCAATCGTCCAACACTTTGACCGTCCAACACCTTGACCGTCAAACACCTTGACCGTCCAACAACTCAATCGTCCAACAACTCAACCGTCCAACAAATTAACCGTCCAACAACTCAACCGTCCAACAACTCAACCGTCCAACAACTCAACCGTCCAACAAATAAACCGTCCAAAAAACCAACCGTCCAACAAACTAACCGTCCAACAAATCAACGGTCCAACAAATCAACGGTCCAACAAATCAACCGACCAACAACTCAACCGTCCAACAACTCAACCGTCCAACAACTCAACCGTCCAACAACCGTAAACAACTCAACCGTCCAACAACTCAACCGTCCAACAAATCAACGGTCCAACAAATCAACGGTCCAACAAACCAACCGTCCAACAAATCAACGGTCCAACAAATCAACCGACCAACAACTCAACCGTCCAACAACCGTAAACAACTCAACCGTCCAACAAATCAACGGTCCAACAAATCAAACGTCCAACAAATCAACGGTCCAACAAATCAACCGTCCAACAAATCAACGGTCCAACAAATCAACCGTCCAACAACCGTAAACAACTCAACCGTCCAACAACTCAACCGTCCAACAAATCAACCGTCCAACAAATCAAACGTCCAACAAATCAACGGTCCAACAAATCAACGGTCCAACAAACCAACCGTCCAACAAATCAACGGTCCAACAAATCAACCGACCAACAACTCAACCGTCCAACAACTGTAAACAACTCAACCGTCCAACAACTCAACCGTCCAACAACTCAACCGTCCAACAAATCAAACGTCCAACAAATCAACGGTCCAACAAATCAACGGTCCAACAAACCAACCGTCCAACAAATCAACGGTCCAACAAATCAACCGACCAACAACTCAACCGTCCAACAACTGTAAACAACTCAACCGTCCAAAAACTCAACCGTCCAACAACTCAACCGTCCAACAACTCAACCGACCAACAACTCAACCGTCCAACAACTCAACCGTCCAACAACTCAACCGTCCAACAACTGTAAACAACTCAACCGTCCAACAACTCACCCGTCCAACAACTGTAAACAACTCAACCGTCCAACAACTCAACCGTCCAACAACTCAACCGTCCAACAACTCAACCGTCCAACAAATCAAACGTCCAACAAATCAACGGTCCAACAAATCAACGGTCCAACAAACCAACCGTCCAACAAATCAACGGTCCAACAACTCAACCGACCAACAACTCAACCGTCCAACAACTCAACCGTCCAACAACTCAACCGTCCAACAACTCAACCGTCCAACAACTCAACCGTCCAACCAATCAACCGTCCAACCAATCAACCGTCCAACAACTCAACCGTCCAACAACTCAACCGTCCAACCAATCAACCGTCCAACCAATCAACCGTCCAAAAACTCAACCGTCCAACCAATCAACCGTCCAACAAATCAACGGTCCAACAACTCAACCGTCCAACAACTCAACCGTCCAACAATCCAACCGTCCACCTACCGTCTGCACATCCTGGTCCCTGGTCCCGTAGAAAAAGTAGGCCAGCTGACAGACACACAGACAGACGAGCAGACCTGAGAGGGCGAACCCCAGCATGATGCCGCCAATCACACGGAGCCTGCAGGAGATACAGGGGACACGTCAGGTGCCAGACTTACTTGCGGACAGGTGGGTGTCAATGGGGGGGGGGGGGGGGGGTTAGGTCACTTTTTTAAAAAATGGGATTCTGGTAGATTTGTGTAGTTGGTGATTAAGGTCATTTGTTTTAAGGGATTTAAGTAGATTTGTGAAGTTGGTGGTTAAGGTCATTTGTTTTAAGGCATTTAAGTAGATTTGTGAAGTTGGTGGTTAAGGTTATTTGTTTTAAGGGATTTAAGTAGATTTGTGAAGTTGGTGGTTAAGGTTATTTGTTTTAAGGGATTTAAGTAGATTTGTGAAGTTGGTGGTTGAGGTCATTTGTTTTAAGGGATTTAAGTAGATTTGTGAAGTTGGTGGTTAAGGTTATTTGTTTTAAGGCATTTAAGTAGATTTGTGAAGTTGGTGGTTAAGGTTATTTGTTTTAAGGGATTTAAGTAGATTTGTGTAGTTTAAGTAGATTTGTGAAGTTGGTGGTTAAGGTCATTTGTTTTAAGGCATTTAAGTAGATTTGTGAAGTTGGTGGTTAAGGTTATTTGTTTTAAGGGATTTAAGTAGATTTGTGAAGTTGGTGGTTAAGGTTATTTGTTTTAAGGGATTTAAGTAGATTTGTGAAGTTGGTGGTTGAGGTCATTTGTTTTAAGGGATTTAAGTAGATTTGTGAAGTTGGTGGTTAAGGTTATTTGTTTTAAGGCATTTAAGTAGATTTGTGAAGTTGGTGGTTAAGGTTATTTGTTTTAAGGGATTTAAGTAGATTTGTGTAGTTGGTGGTTAAGGTTATTTGTTTTAAGGGATTTAAGTAGATTTGTGAAGTTGGTGGTTGAGGTCATTTGTTTTAAGGGATTTAAGTAGATTTGTGAAGTTGGTGGTTAAGGTTATTTGTTTTAAGGGATTTAAGTAGATTTGTGTAGTTGGTGGTTAAGGTTATTTGTTTTAAGGGATTTAAGTAGATTTGTAAAGTTGGTGGTTAAGGTTATTTGTTTTAAGGGATTTAAGTAGATTTGTGTAGTTGGTGGTTAAGGTTATTTGTTTTAAGGGATTTAAGTAGATTTGTGAAGTTGGTGGTTGAGGTCATTTGTTTTAAGGGATTTAAGTAGATTTGTGAAGTTGGTGGTTAAGCTCATTTGTTTTAAGGGATTTAAGTAGATTTGTGAAGTTGGTGGTTGAGGTCGTTTGTTTTAAGGGATTTAAGTAGATTTGTGAAGTTGGTGGTTAAGCTCATTTGTTTTAAGGGATGTAAGTAGATTTGTGAAGTTGGTGGTTAAGGTTATTTGTTTTAAGGGATTTAAGTAGATTTGTGAAGTTGGTGGTTGAGGTCATTTGTTTTAAGGGATTTAAGTAGATTTGTGAAGTTGGTGGTTAAGGTTATTTGTTTTAAGGGATTTAAGTAGATTTGTGAAGTTGGTGGTTGAGGTCATTTGTTTTAAGGGATTTAAGTAGATTTGTGAAGTTGGTGGTTAAGGTCATTTGTTTTAAGGGATTTAAGTAGATTTGTGAAGTTGGTGGTTAAGGTTATTTGTTTTAGGGGATTTAAGTAGATTTGTGAAGTTGGTGGTTGAGGTCATTTGTTTTAATGGATTTAAGTAGATTTGTGAAGTTGGTGGTTAAGGTTATTTGTTTTAAGGGATTTAAGTAGATTTGTGAAGTTGGTGGTTAAGGTCATTTGTTTTAAGGGATTTAAGTAGATTTGTGAAGTTGGTGGTTAAGCTCATTTGTTTTAAGGGATTTAAGTAGATTTGTGAAGTTGGTGATTAATGCCGTTTGTTTTAAGGGATTTAAGTAGATTTGTGAAGTTGGTGGTTAAGGTCATTTGTTTTAAGGCATTTACGTAGATTTGTGAAGTTGGTGATTAAGGTCATTTTATTTATTTTTATTTTTTCATCTTTTTTTTAATCGGATTCACGAAGATTTTGTTTAGAAGGTGTATATAAAAATGTACTTCAAAGTTGGTCGATCAATAAAAAATGAAGATGATGTAATAGATATATAAGGTGAACAGGTAAAGATCAGGTAAAGAAAAGATTAAGCAATAAAACTAGATCGATGAACATTTGGGGATTAGACAAGATGACCAAGTAGAGATTAGACAAGATTAATAAGTAGATATTAGACAAGACGGCTAAGTAGAGATTAGACAAGATGACCAAGTAGAGATTAGATAAGATGACCAAGTAGAGATTAGATAAGATGACCAAGTAGAGATTAGATAAGATGACCAAGTAGAGATTAGACAAAATGACCAAGTAGAGATTAGACAAGATGATCAAGTAGAGAGTAGGCAAAATGGCCAAGTAGAGCGTAGACAAGATAGCCAAGCTAAAATAGACAAAATGACTAAATAGAGATTAGACAAGATTACCAAGTAGTGACTACATCAGTTGACCAAGTAGAGATTAGATGATCGAGTAGAGATTAGACCATACGACCAAGTAGAAAATGGCCAAGATGGCCAAGTATAGTTTGATAAAGAAGAACACTCATAGGTGACTAGAAAAGACTCAGCAACGTTGAGTTAACAAAGAAAAATGACCAAGTCTGACATCCATACTTACACTAGACTGCCAATGCCGCCTCCGATGGCCAACAGAATGAGCCCCAGGAACAACAAGATGATTGACGTGGCCAGGATGACCATCACGACCCTCGGGGGGACGACCCACCGCCGGTGTTTCTTCAGCTGCAGCTTGGGGGACCCACCCCGGGACCCACCCCCGGGCTCGTCATCGTCAACCAGGAAACACATTCTCAAGGTCGAATAGTTGACCCCCGGGTCACACGCTGTGAGTGTTGATCACTAATCCAACGTAATGTGACCCAAATCTTTAAACACTTGGTTGAGTTAAGACGGGGGGTTGAAGTCTTGACATAACCAATTCAGCCAATGTCAAGTTCAGTATCCAACCTTCACCTTGCGCATACGCCTGACCGACATTCTGAAAAATAAAAAATAAAAATTTAAAAATATTTTAGGTGGATTCGATCGACTTTCGAGTTGATAAACTTCAGATAAGTTAAACTAATACCTGGATTGATGGAAGTCCCCTCCCCCCTCCCCACATCACTCCACAACCCCCCCCCCCCCCCCCCCAACACATTTTTACCTCCCCTCCCCGCGCCACATTCCCTTCCTGATCTGGTGTAACGTTAGATATAAATAGATCTCACAGGGGAGATAACCCAGGTACCCAGGTGGGACGGGTATCACGTGCATCGAGTGCTCACTCAACCCCGCCCCTTAACGGCTAAACGCACGTAAAAGTGAGCATACGGTGAGCCACGTGACCGTTTTTAATGCCAATGATACGGCTAGCAGACACCAATGGTGTGGATTGATGGTAGACACGTTAGAATTAAAGTAGATTTATACCCACGACACAATACAGGTATCCACACCATAGACTTCTACATCACAGATAGCCACAACACTCCACACATAGCTACACTACACAACAGATATTCACAATACACACAAATATTTGCAATACACACAGATAGCTACAATACACCACATATAGCTACAACACACCACAGATAGCTACAATACACCACATATAGCTACAACACACCACATATAGCCACAATACACCACATATAGCCACAATACACCACATATAACCACAACACACCACATATAGCCACAATACACCACATATAGCCACAATAAACCACATATAGCCACACCATATTACACTTAGCCATAACCTCAGAACAGATCAGAGACGTAGCGACCTATTTCGGCGCCCTGGGCGGACTATCAATTTTGCGCCCTCTCTCCCAATATTTCTATATTTCCTGTCTGTGAAAAAGCGCCCCCCCCCCCCCCTAAGTTGGACAACTTTGTGTCGCTTCTTACCAGTTACTATCCCGTAACATTTTCTATTTCGGGGTCACAACATTTTTAAATAACTGTGTGAAGTCTTTTATTTTATTCTCGTAACTTTGATTGTTTATAACTCATTACTTCAGCTTAAGATGAGCTTTTAAATTATTTTTTCTACCCCATTTGGCGCCCCCTTATGGTCGGCGCCCGGGGTGGCCGCCCCACCCGCCTTCCTCTAGCTACGCCACTGGAACAGATTGCGTTAACCGCCACAGATATCCATAACCATCATACACAGCAACAAAACACTATAGATAGACAAAACACAGAACATAACAAACTTACAAAACCAAAAACAGACTTAATAACCCACTCAAACACCTCATTAATAGCTCGTCCATTTTTCTAGCTATCCCATAATTTACGCAACAAACTTAACAATCACCTTCAGCACATTTCATGACGTCATTAAACACAAACATAAAACACCCCATTATAATTATCTCCATGACTCACCGAGTATAAAAAATAGCAAGAAATTTCTGCTATGCTTTCTGGAAATTTTCAGATTTATTGGTATTTAGACGAGGCAGAGTTGCCATAATTTATAACCACGCGTGTTGGTCCGCATATTTATTATGATAGATTTATACAGAGCTGTTTTTAATCCTGCCTGTATTATGTAAATATTGATATATGACCTGGTCAGGCTTTATTTTATTTACACATACTATCACCGATAAGAGATTAGTCTAAAACCAGTGTTTCTTTCAGACTTTCTTCACGTCGGGGGGTGGGGGGAGAGGGAGGGGTTAATTGAAATTTTCCGGTGGGCGGAGACTGATAAAAGTATATATTTTCTATATAAATTCTTTCGTTCGGAGGGGTGGGGGTGGGTGGAGGAGGGGGGAGAGAGCGGTAGACGTTCTTTGGGTGGGGGTGGGTGGTGTAGGGTTAGGGTTAGGGCTAGAGATGCCTGAAACTCAGACAAAAACCACGTGAAGCCAATCTACAGACAGGTTAGTCTTTAGAGGATGGTCTGAGTTGTTGGTATACAACACGAACAGAACTATGCGGGAAAATGGAATAAAAATGAGGTTTGATTATAGTAAGCAAAATTGTTACAACCGTTGATATATGTGTCGTAGAAGAATCATTGAACAGGATTTTAAACGAAAATTGAGCGAAATAAAAATTGTCCACACTGGAAAATTGCTCTATTGTGAAAATTGAGCGAAATAAAAATTGCTCAATAGTGAAAACTGACCGAAATAAAAATTGCTCAAAATAGAAAATTGCTCTATATTGAAAATTGAGAGAAATAAAAATTGCCCAAAATTGAAAAATGCTCATAATGAAAAGTGCGCGAAAAATTGACCAAAACTGGAAAATTGCACACAATAGATATTGCGCAAAAGTAAAATTGCACACTAATGAAAATTTACACAAAATATAAATTGCGCAAATTGAAATATTGCACAAAATTTAAATGTTCTAGCAAATTAGAAATATACTGGTAGAAACCAGAATCAGAGAGAAAAAAAAGACATGAATAAATATTGCTAGTACAAAGTTTTGAATATCAACAGACAGTATGGCCCCATAAACAGTGTTTACATTAGAATTATTGGGGAGGGGGAGAGTTGGGGTAGCTTCTTCAGGTCTACAAGGTATTGTAAACAAATAAACTTTTCTTACCCCATACTTTCAGAAATCTCAAGATGGAATCTTTGGCATTTCCCGGCCTCCGGGGGGTGGGGGGGGGGGGGGAGGATTAGGTAATGGACTCACAGTCATGACTGTCATACTAATTAATACATTCATTAGAGATGTTTCCATGGTTACTTGACGGCGTTCGTCTAACAATATCTAACACGGTTGTTGTTGTATATATATATATATATATATATATATATATATATATATATATATATATATATATATATATATATCAGACGCAAAGGGATGGTAGAGAGCTAGACTGCTATCATGAAAGTCTCGAGTTCGTATTCGGGTTCAAGTAAGTAGAACGTCCCTGAGTCCATCCAGCTCTGCTAGGTACCTAACTCACGTTATAGAAAGCAAAGGCGGCTGGGCATAGTGCTGACCACACTATAATATGCCGATGTCACTGAAACATATGAACTCTACTTCATCTGTCCCATGTGTCTTTGGCACAGGTAAAGAAGATAAACAGTTGCAAACTTTTCAGTATAATTAGGGGATAAATACAAAAAAAAAATCAGCATTTTTGTTTCAGCTGTTCATGGCTATAAATAGAAATTAAAAGAAAAACCAACGCAATATGTGCACTCACACGTTCGCACGCGAATGTGTTTAACAGCGGTTAAACCACGGTTTAACATTTACTTGCACGCATCTTGTTATTTACGTACACAGCACGCGAGTCTATATTTAGCTGTTGAGAAAGACGAGCATTCATGGGGTTGTTTTTTTTTTTTTTTAAACAAATGCTGATAACAGAAAGACGGAAATGCAGGAGTTATCTCGCTTAGAGAAGTTCGGTAACTCTGTCAGGAAAATATTTAGTTAGGCCATTCCTGTTTACAGCCAAGGAGACTTGTTAATATAATATTTTTTTTGTTTTAGTTTATATTTCGAAATTAAGGTGTTCATTAAATGTTTTTTTTAAAACATCATTTTTTTTTAAAGTGAAGTGTTGGTTCAATTTGCTATGACGGAAGCGAAAGGGGAGGTGATGGAAGTACCATAGTTGAATTTTGGCAAACGTCCATTTGAGCAATTGTTGAATTTTGGCAAACGTCCATTCGAGCAATTGTTGAATTTTGGCAAACGTCCATTCGAGCAATTTTTGAATTTTGGCAAACGTCCATTCGAGCACTTGCTGAATTTTGGCAAACGTCCATTTGAGCAATTGTTGAATTTTGGCAAACGTCCATTCGAGCAATTGTTGAATTTTGGCAAACGTCCACTCGAGCAATTTTTGAATTTTGGCAAACGTCCATTCGAGCACTTGCTGAATTTTGGCAAACGTCCATTCGAGCAATTGCTGAATTTTGGCAAACGTCCATTCGAGCACTTGCTGAATTTTGGCAAACGTCCATTCGAGCAATTGCTGAATTTTGGCAAACGTCCATTCGAGCAATTGCTGAATTTTGGCAAAGGTCCATTCGAGCTTCTTTCTTCTTCTTCTTCGTGGTTAATTTTTAGTGTTGGAAGGGATCGAGCCTTATCTGCTCGAGGGTTCGAACTCGAGATTTTTTTCGAATTTATCAACCATGAGCTTTTGCCGACTCGACCACGCCTCCACCACAATTAAGGATTACGTGTCAACTGGTTATCCGCCATTGACTCCGATTTCAGCCTGCTTTTCTTTTTGGATTTGCTTCCATAGCCTTTGTCCAGCCAAGCACAAACTACAAGGCAGCAGTTGTTTGATTTTGGAGATTGGTTGGTTCGATCTCGAGACTTTTCGTTTAGCAACCATGAGCTGTACCGACTCGACCACGCCGCCCCCTGTCCATTCGAGCAATTGTTGAATTTTGGAAAATGTCCATTCGGACAATTGTTGCAGTCAGCCAAAACAAACGTTCAATCGGACAAACGTTCATTCCGGCAAACGACCTTCAGGCAAATATCTTTCGGACAAAAGTCCGGCTCCCTGGGGAAACTCTCATACGATGACGTATGTCTGTATATTACAACATATCTATTGTCTTGTTTATTACATTAGAACTTTCAAAACAGCTGATCACTCATCAACCTGCGAGTAGTTTGCCAACTGGGTTAAGCAGGGGGGAGGAGGGGAGGGGTGGGGGTGGGGGGGGGGGTTCTGATGTTTGTATGTTTATTTTTCTGAAGCCGATTGATGTCTAACTAAACACTGAGCTAATCAGAGCTCAATCAGAGCTTAATCGGAGACTAAACAATACGGCTTCGTGTCGAATAGACAGACAGGAAGATCCAGGTAAATCTAAGTAAATCTACAGGTAAATATCAGGTAAAACTCATGTTTAATGGGAAGAATTTGGCAAGTATAATATGGTTAAAATTATTAGAAGATGCAGGTAAAAATCATGAATCGGGTAAAATCAGGTAAAAATCAGGTAAGAACAAAAAAACAAATAAGAA